GCTCCTTCCTTTCCAGTTAATCTTTTGTCCGTTAGTGCTATCATACTCTTAACTAAAATGTGTTGTTTCTTTTGACATTCCTAAGGTGATCTTTTAGGAGAAGGGGACATGACGGAGACTTAGGATTGGCACTTGGAGTAGTGGACTGTGGTACCTGGATCGTGAAGGATTGGACTCAGCGTTGGTATCTATGGTAGAGAGAGTAGGAGTAGGATCTGAGATGAGTGTTGAGAGTGTGTTGATGCTTCATCACCAGCGCTTGGGACACTCATCTTTTAGTGTTTTAAGTAGGTTGTATCCATCTTTATTTGAGAAAGCAAATAAACAGAAACTTGTGTGCGATGCATGTGAGTTTGAAAAGCTTACTAAAAGCTCTTATGTTAGTTATGGTTATAGGAGTTCTCGTGCATTTGACCTGATACATTCAGATGTTTGGGGGTCTTGTTCCACAAGTTCTATGAATGGATACAAGTATTTTATTACCTTTATTGATTGTTTCTCTCGCGTTACTTGGTTATACTTCATGAAAAATAAGAGTGAAGTGTTTGGTTGCTTCTAAAACTTTCATAGGTATGCTCAGACTCAATATGGAGTAGTAGTGAATGTATTGCGATCTGATAATGAGACAGAGTATACCAACAAAGCGCTTGCGGAATACTTGTCAGCTCAGGAAATACAACACTAGACTACATGTCCATACACACCGACTCAGAATGAGGTAGCGGAAAGAAAGGACAGATATCTTTTAGAGGTTGCTAGAAGTATGATGATCTCCATGAATGTCCCAGAAACATTATGAGGTCAAGCAGTGTTGTCCGCAACTCAGCTGATCAACAGAATGCCCTCGAGAGTGCTGGATTGGAAGTCTCCGTGTGAGACGTTGAAGGGAGATAATGGTGGGATTCTTTCATTAAAAGTGTTTGACTGTGTGTGCTTTGTGAAGGACAACAGGCCATACGTCGGGAAGCTTACCCCTAGAACGGTGAAATGCATCTTTGTGGGATATTCTGCTACCCAGAAGGGATATGTTTGCTGGAGCCCGGTGGAGAAGAGGTTGTTTGTGAGCATGGATGTGCACTTTCGAGAACTCGAGCCATATTACACCCGAGAGATAACTTTATCCGTTGGTGACTCGTCCGATACTGGAAGTATGAGGCGAGAGGGGGAGAATAGTGAGAGGCAGGTGAATAATGTGGAGAAATCGATTTCTCTATCGATTCCTTAGGAGGGAGAATTGGTTAAGGAGGAGCAGGAGAATGAAGAAGAAGAGGAAAATGAGACAATGGGTGTTAGGCCCACGGTTCAGGGGAAGCTACTTACCTATAGTAGGAAGGGGAAGCAAATTACAGGAACAGTACCTACAGTGCCACTGGTGCCAAGTCTCTTGCCAATGCCTGCCCTGACTCCTGAGACACCTACACTACCACCAGATTCCTCCCAATGTGATATCATTCCTCTCCTTACTTCTCTCACACCAATATCAGTAAGGAAGACTACTCGCAGCAATGCGGGAAATCCTCCCGATAGATATGGTTGGGATCTTGCTCAGTTTGTATCATATTCTAACATCTCTACTGCACATGGAGCATTCATTGTATCATTGGACTCTGTTATTGTACGTAACAATTGACAGATTGCTAAGAAGGATCCAAAATGGAAAGCGGTTATGCACGAGGAGCTAGGGGCTTTTGAGAAGAACCGCACTTGGGAGTTAGTAAAACTACCAGAATGGAAGAGAACAGTTGGATACAAGTGTGTCTTCACTGTGAAGCAGAATCCAAATGGACGGGTTGAGCGCTACAAGGCTCGTCTGGTGGCAAAAGGGTACAATCAGACATGACATCGACTATGATGAGACTTTTGTACCGGTGGCGAAGATGAGCACTGTTCAGACTTTCATCTCTCTGGCAGTAAATGATGGATGGAAGCTACACCAACTAGATGTGAAGAATATATTTCTTCATGGAGATCTAGTGGAAGATACATGAAGATACCACCAGGATTCGAAAAAGATCAGACAGTGGGCAATGTCTGCAGATTGAAGAAGTCTCTCTATGGGGTGAAGCAGTCTCCTCGTGTTTGGTTCGACAGATTCAGGAGGGCTATGATAGGTATGGGGTACCAACAGATTAACGCTGATCATACCGTGTTCTTTTGACGGAGTGGAAGCCATATTACCATGCTTACGGTATATGTGGATGATATGATTATTACAAGGGATGATGAGAAGGAGATTGCCCAACTCAAAGTGAGACTGGGTAAGGAATTCGAGGTAGAAGGTCTTGGCTTGTTTCGATACTTTCTTGGAATAGAGATAGCCCGAGGAGCGGAGGGGATTGTCCTCTCCCAAAGAAAGTATGTACTGGATCTTCTCAAAGAGACAGGGATGTTAGGGTGCAAATCTGCAACTACACTGATCGACTAGAAGTTTAAGCTGGGTGCGGAGGCTGGAGAACCAGTTAATCGTGACAGATACCAGAGGCTGGTGGGCAGGTTAATGTATTTGAGTCACACACGTCCCGATATCTCTTTTGCAGGGAGCGTGGTGAGCCGCTACATGCATGATCCGAGGAAGAGTCATATGGACGCAGTGTACCAGATTCTGAGGTATTTGAAAAGTGCCCCGGAAAAGGGCTGATATTCAGGAAGAATGAATATGTGAGCATTAAGGGTTATTGTGACTCTGATTGGGCTAGCTGTGCTGATGATAGGAGGTCCACCTCAGGATACTATATCTTTATAGGAGGCAACTTGGTCTCGTGGAAGAGCAAGAAGCAGTCAGTGGTGGCGAGATCAACAGCTGAAGCAGAGTATAGAGCTATGACCTTTGGAGTTGCGGAGTTGTGGTTGAAGAGTATGCTAGTGGAGTGAAGCTGGATCAAGGAGCTAAGATGAAGTTGTGGTGTGATAACAAGTCATCCATTAATATCGCTAACAACCCAGTACAGCATGATAGAACCAAACACATTAAGATTGATAGGTTTTTCATCAAAGAGAAGTTGGACAATGGACTACTGGAGTTAAGTCATGTTCCAACTAAGGATCAGGCAACAGACTGTCTGGTTAAGGGACTTAGCTCAGTAGATATGATTAGAGGATACGACAAGATGAGCTTAGTGGATATCTTTCGCCCATCTTGAGGAGGAGTGTTGACATATTAATAATATGTAGGGGGTTATTTGTAAGTTTGTGTTTGTAGGGGCCTATATAAGCTCAAGAGATTTCAGTAATAACTAAGAGGGTTTTCTCTATTCTCTTCAGATATTATATGTAAACATCATTATAATACATGCTCAATTCATGTTGAGCACAATGGAGCTTTTTTCATCTCACTAATTACCTCAAAAAATGCGTGTAATAGTTACAAGACATTAAATTCACATTTGAGTGGGGTTCATGAGTCACATGGATTTTTTATACTTGTTTATCACAAATAACTTCTTTTTTTCTTCTGAAAACTGTAATAAGTGACTTGAGCATCTGAAAACAAGTATCAATTGATGTTAATATCTTTTCTTAGGTATCTGAGTTATTTGTGTGTTACTTATTCCCTTGGATCATAGTTTTAAAAAGCAGTCTAAGCTCCTGCTTAGACTCTCGAATTGGCGTAGACGGTACTTAGGCCGCCTTCCTAGGGGAGCACGGGCCATTATGCGGATGGCAAAACTTAGGTTGTGGTCTGATTTCCTCTCTTGCTGCCTCCTCGTCCTCCTACCTCCCTGGCCTCCTTTACCAACTCCAAACACCCCCATCTCATCGAACCTTCAGCAAAATCTCCTCCACCTCCAGTTAACCAAATAAAAAAAGAAATCCCCCTTGGCCCCACCTAGGTGCTAGGCGCTGGGTCGGCGCCTAGCGATGCCTAACGCTTACTGTAACATTGCATTGGATTTTACCTTACATCCATTAAAAGAAAAAATAAAAAAAAAACAACATTTTTCTGCCTTCCATCTAAATTGCACTCAGTTTTTCCTATAATTTTCTATATTTCTGTTCCATATTGTGTCACCGTGTCTGTATCCGTGCAATGTATTATAAAAAGTACATAACTGTACAAAGTAAATGTTGCTCAAGACATCTATCACTTAGTAAAAATGGTTATATGTGTCACTTGGCTGTTTGCTCACTCCATGTCTAATAGAATAGCATTGGACATGACAATTTACAGGAGTGTGTGATGCGTCTAAAGCTAAGTGAAGCTGAAATGCGGTGAATAGGAACATATAGAGTCACATATTTAGTTCTAGACTTCTAGTATTACTATGATGGTTTAGTTCTGGATGGTATCTGTATTTCTCATACCACTTCATGAATTCCACCACACGAAGTTAATATTCTAGTGTGACACAGGAGCTGCTACAAAATTTTGTAATTGATATCATTAGTCCCATTTTCTTCAATTTGCTATTTGTTGATCGTGAAAGTCATCTATAATGTAGCCACCATTGTCTAATAACCATTTTATCCAAAAAATTAAGTGTGTGAGTTGTGGGCTAACAATGTTATATCTAGCAAACTAAATTACTACACATCCTCATATGCGTCTTTGATTCGCATGGAAATGACTCCCATATCTTGAAACATTGAGTAAATTCAGGTATAATAATACATCAACGTTTTTAACTTGTTAGTGATGAGTTCTGAACCATGAGACCTGGTGCTTTGCTATTTGATAGACAACCAGCTTCAAGAGCATGTTTTGTGCTCAACCTCAAGTTGAGCAGACTAGAGATACGTTATTTACCCTCATTTATCCTGTTTGTTAAAGCTAGCATTGGTTATGCCAGAGGCCTTTCTATGGGGCTAAATAGTCCATTTGAGTTAAATTTGCTGGTATGCATTATTATTAGCAGATAACTACTTTATCGAAAATTTTTAATCTTATTGTTATGTCTAACAGTGTACATACCAAATAAACATAACACCTTCGACAACAGTTATATTTACTTTATTGGCAGTATAAGTACATTCCTAACATCGTCTTTTCCCCCCCTCCTCAGTTACCTGGTCGTACAGATAATGAGATAAAGAACTACTGGAACACTCGGATTAAGAGACGCCAGCGTGCCGGTTTACCAGTCTACCCTTCTGATTTCTCTTTCCCAGCATCTGATGAGAATCAGCAGGGCCCGACTGTTGGAGACTTCAGCAGCATCAGTAAAATCCAAAATGAGTCCCCGCAAGGAAATTGTTATAACATTACTGATATCATATTTGATGACTTAAAAGCATCTTATACACCACGTTTCCTGCCGGATATTTCTCTCAGTAACGTGCTGAGTCAGGGGTTTGGATCTTTGAGTTATGGCTTCACCACTCAACCAATGGACTGTAAACCCTTTCGAGGAAATGAAACCCTTTTCTCTTTTCCAGCATCGTTTGAGAACTTCTCAGATGATCCTTCTCAAAAGATTGATCTGACATTGGGAACAAGCTATCCTTATGATCCAGACCCTATCATTAAAGACGTGGCACCTTATGAAGGTGCAATTAATGGTAGCCATGCCCTAATGAATGGCAACTACTCTACTTCTAAGTCCCTTTCAGGGACTGTGAAGTCGGAGCTCCCTTCACTCCAATTTACCGAAACTGATCCAAGTTTCTGGTTTGCTTATGATTCCTCGCCTCCGTCTGAGGCAGTTGATACTTACATTCAATCCGCTTCAGCTGTGTCGATGCAATCAGAATGTTCGTCGCCTCGGAACAATGGACTATTAGAAGATGTGCTTCACGAGTCACATGCAATGCATAGTGGAAAGAAAGTGCCATATGAAAAGTGCTCGAATTCTTCTGTAATGACACCCTGTGATGTTATGGATAGTTCGGCAAATAACTTCTGTGAGGACACTGCCTTTGAGCACTGTGACCCCATTTCCCCTTTGAGTTGTTCTGCTGCATCAGTATTCAATGAGTACACACCTCCAATCAGTAGCAGTTCCTTGGATGAGCTACCTCCTCCTAGAGGACCTTCTGGTAAACATGCAAACCTGTGGCTCAAATATTTCAATAAGGATAAATTTCGGGTAACCCCCTCCCCCTGTACTTTGGGGGTCTTGCAGAAAACCCCCTTAAACTTTATAAATAATAGAAAACCCCTCTAAACTTGTTTCACTTAACTACCACAACTGATGACAGATGCTTTAATTTTTCATGCTCTCTGCACGTGACAACTTTTGGATACTTTTAATATAACTTTGATATTTTCCTTCTCGTATAAAGGTAGGTAAGAAGTATCCATTTATGAGAATTTCCCATAGTTTTTTTCTTTTCTTTTGTGTGTGTATGTTCTTTTTTTTTTTTTTTTTTGGGTAGGGGGTAGGTGGTGGGGGTAGGGTGTTGTGTGTTTGTTTTTTTTTTTTTTTTTTTTTGGGTAGGGGGTAGGTGGTGGGGGTAGGGTGTTTTTCTTTTCATTTCTTTTTTTGTTTTGTTTTGTTTTGGAGGGAGGGGGGTTGTTTTCCGTGATCTATAAAGTTCACAAGGGTTTTGTTAAATTAACCCATTTGAATCAATTGTGTACATTATTCTGAGTTGATAGTGACCATATATATGGTCTTTCGTTGATGATTGCTGTAGGTTCGGACATCATATTGCCAAGTGCTGAGGATGTTTCAACCCCAAACCCACTTGGTGGTAAGATTAAGCCAAAACCAGAGTTTTTAAGGCCTGATGCTATACTTGGCTCTGCTTGGCTTTTGGAGAGCTCTCAAATGGCAAAAGATCACACCGACATGAACAATGCCATAGCAACACTTCTTGGTGATGAATGCTGCAGCGAGCACAAGCCTTTGACAACGGAAACATCAGTGAGTTTCACTGGAGCCCTGGGGCTGGACTCTTATCCATGGAATAATATGCCTCGTGTTTGTCAAATTTCTGAACATCCTTGAGATTTCTTTCGGGGAAAAAGAACTTATTGTTCGAGATTTTCACCTCATTGGTCGTTGATGCCAGTGAGTATGAGATTGTTGTTTGAGGTTATGCATTGTTGTCTCAATAACTATGCCGACTTGATCAGGGAAAACTATTTTATGAGTTAGCTATTTTGTAGAACTCATTTGATTTGCTTATTGATAAAAGACTAATTCGCCATGAAAATGTGGCGTTGCTGTATTGGTTATCGGCATATTGTTATTGTTGTTGCTGTTATTTGTAGGGGTTTGATTAGCCTAAGTATGTATACAGTCCCATCGAGGAGCTATAGGTAGGAGCTACATAATTTGGGTGAAAATTTTGTTCTTTGATACTACGATGGTTTCTTATGTTGCTGCTACGAATACCCTACATCCTTGGTCACAAATTTGTTATGTAGATGATTAGCACCTTTCTATTTTGTTGCTCTCGTAAAAATATTTGCTTGCATGAATTTTAAGAAACAATTATAGAACCCACGGAGGTATTATTGGTCCAAATAAAAGATTGTAGGAAGTTTCTACAATAAAATTTGTAGTGTATTCATAGCCGTTTAATGCAATTGCTCATGCGATTCCCTTCGTTCTAGTTTTTCCCCTGACTTTTTCTTTTTGGAGAAAGAGATATGGCCCAAAATTCCATTCGCATTATTGATCGTCATTTATACATTTGTCGATCCCTGGTCGATATCGTTTATGGTTGGGACTAGGACGGTATCTGATCGTCTTCGAACCCCAACTTTCGTTCTTAATTAATGAAAACATTCTTGGCAAATGCTTTTGCACTTGTTCGTCTTTCATAAATCCAAGAATTTCACTTCTTAAATACGGAAGCCTCTGACTATCCCTCTTAATAATTACTCTGATCTTGAAGGCCAACACAACAGACCAAAATCCTATGATATTATCCCATACTAATGTATACAAAGGGTAGGCTTACTTTGAGCACTCTAATTTCTTCAAAGTAACGGCGCCAGAGGCACGACCATTTAAGGCTAGGAGCGCATCGCCGGCAGAAGGGACAAGATAGTTGGTACACACCCTAGAGTAGATCAGTCGGGGTTTCCGGTAGCCACACGAGGGGGGCAGTTAATGGCAGAACCGTCCCCCCTATTGGTCTTAAGATGTGGCTCAGCCCCTTACACATAGAGGTTCTAATAGAACACTTACTCCATAATGATATAACTAATCTAATACTTATACTTACTGTTATAAAAATGGATTGGCATGCTAAATCTGAAAGTACCCTAGAGTGGGAGTGAATAGGGTAATTGCTAATCTAATCCGATTTCGATGCCAAATTAAAATTAATAATGAATTATCCTAGCAATGATGATATATACTACAATATAAGCAAGGATATATAATGAAACAATAGGCGATATAAATGATGAGACAATATGTGATATAAGAATAGGAACAAGAATAATATGCCAAAGCCAAACACTAGCAAGTTTGTAGTGGAAGCTAGGGAAACACGGTACATTCTTAAGAATTACTAACCTTTACTTCAATTTATTTATAATGACTTGATCTTATTATTAACTAACTACAAGGCTGTAGACGCACAATTTTTTTTGGTATTAACAAGCCCTATAAATGAAACTTATTGCGAGGATGATAGTACCTCATAAATATCAAAACTAATGTGAGAGAGTACCTCATATAAATCTAAACCAATGAAGGTAGACCCTCCGTATTAATTATTTCAGAGAGACACACCTTCCCTTTATAGTTGTCAAAGTTGATGAGCTCAACAAGCCTCGTCAATAAAACCAATATGAGGGATAGTACTTTATATAAATCTAAATCAATGAAGGTAAGCCCTCTATATTAATTAATTCAGAGAGGCACATCTTCCCCTTGTAGGTGTCAAATTTGAGCTCAACAAACCTTATCAATGAAACTTAATGAGAGGGATAGTACCTCATATAAATCAAAATCAATATGACGGATAGTACCTCATATAAAAGAAAATCAAGTTGAGGATGACAACACCTCGTGTAAGTTTGAGAGTACATGTACCCTCTATTAATCCAATACAAAAACACATGCCTCACCCCTTCATATTAACCAAATTCTCAAACTTGAGGGTGCATGTCAATTTCGATATATTGGTGTTATCATGTGATCATAAGCCTTAGCAATAAAATCTATCATATAAATCAAAATCAATATGACGGATAGTACCTCATATAAAAGAAAATCAAGTTGAGGATGACAACACCTCGTGTAAGTTTGAGAGTACATGTACCCTCTATTAATCCAATACAAAAACACATGCCTCACCCCTTCATATTAACCAAATTCTCAAACTTGAGGGTGCATGTCAATTTCGATATATTGGTGTTATCATGTGATCATAAGCCTTAGCAATAAAATCTAACTCGGGATACTTACCCTACACACCTAATTTTAGCTTGAAGGTATATAGGATCCACATAACACCTATTTTAAGATTTATATAGGATACTTACCCTACACAACCTTTTATAACTGCGGAAGCCTTCTATGCTGATGCATTTTTTTTTACTTTGAAGGCGTTGTTGCTAAGGAGATCAAAGGAACGGATTTCAGAGCTAATAGAGTTAACCCTAAAGAAGAAATTGCTCATAATAGAGAAAATTCAAAGAAAGTTACATATCGCTACATACCACGAGAACAAAGGAAAGATGGAGACCATGTCTTTCAAATACTTGAGTATGAAGTCTTGAATTCTAACGAAGGTAAAGAGTTTAGCGGTCAAAAGAAAAAAAATCTATGGTCTTTGTACTAGCCTCTTCTATAAATGATGAGGAATCAATTTCTTGCCTTCCTATTTTATTTTATGATCAGAAAGTCCTTAATATGATGAAAAATGGGTTATGACATAAAACTAATTTGAGATTTGATTAACGGAGGAGGTTCTCTTGCACCTTTTGATAAAATTCTCAGTCTAGAATAGAGAGATGCTCTTAACCATGGCAAAAGACTATCATCTAGGAAGAAGGGTTTGGGATATGAAGTCTACATGACATCATCTCAAGAATTTGTGGATTTGCAGCAAGCCCCATCTCAAATGGAAGAATGAGAACAAGCTACAAAAGATGATTTAGAGGAAATTAATATTGGCACTAGTGATGACCCTCGTCCCATATTTATCAGTGCTCATATGTGTAAGGAATAAAAGGATGATTACAGACACTTCTTATCTAAGAACAAGAATGTATTTGCTTGGAGTTACAAGGAGATGCATGTGTTTGATCCGAATGTAGCTGTACATCGCTTAGCCATTTCATGTGATATTACACCTATTAAACAACAACAACGTCGTTTTCGTCCAGAAATATTACCTCAAATAATAGCTGAGATTAATAAACTTCTTACTGCTGACTTTATCAGAGAAGTCAAATATCCTACATGGTTGGCTAATATAGTCCATGTTAAAAAGAAAAATGGACAAACCCATGTTTGTATTGATTTTTGTGATTTAAATAAGGCTTGTCCAAAAAATTATTTTCCTCTCCACATCTCTGAATTATTGATAGATTCTACTACAGGTCATAAAGTATTAACATTCATGATTGTTATTCGGGGTACAACCAAATTCGGATGGCACCAGAATATGAAGAATTTACTGTGTTTAGGACACCAAAAAATATCTTTTGTTATAAAGTAATGCCTTTTGGACTAAAAAATGCTGGTACGACATACCAACATGCTATGATGGAGATTTTTACTGATCTCCTACATGATAAGGTAGAGTGTTATGTTGATGATATTATGATAAAGACAAAGCATAAAAGTGAATATTTACAAGATCTTTCTTTAGTTTTTGAACGCTTAAGGAAACATTAATTAAAGATGAACCCGACAAAATGTGCATTTGGTGTCTCATCAAGAAAAATTTTAGGGTTTGTCATTCGTAAAGATAGAATTGAGATTGATCCAACAAAGACAAAGGTTATCATTGAGATGCCACAACCATGAAACCTACATGAACTGAAAAGTTTTCAAGGGCGACTTGCATACATTCGAAGTTTCATTGCTAATTTAGCCGGCAGGTGCCAACCATTTACAAGTCTAATGAAGAAAGGAGTTTCTTTTGAATGGGACGATGCATCTCAAAGGGTTTTTGAAAGTATAAAAAAATACTTTGTTAGGTCACATGTTTATGAGCCTATTATCTAATCTAGTTTTGATAATTAACAAATAATTCCTAACATCATTTTCGAGTATTTGCATTTGCTCGCTAGGTATCCTCACAAACATCCTTAGTCAGAGGTTGGTTGGACTTGAACGTTAACGATGATATTCATGGAGGTTGGAGGAAATTGGAATGAAGCCATTTGCGCATTCAAGTCACACTACCAAGATCGAGCTTCATGAAGATTATTTGCTTGGTATAGTGTCTATCAGTTCAGGTGTTTTTACTTTATGTGTTTATACTTTAAGCTCAAACCATACACACACACATATTTCGATTTATTTCTTTCATTGTTTGTTTCACTTTGTTAAAGGATTTTTAGAATATCTTTGTAGATAAGTTGTTTGAAATGATTTTATCAAAATCAAGTGTTTAACAATCTCGTATTTTTGACTGTTTTGCAAAATAGTAAGTTTTCACAAATGAGAAATGCTATGTTAGAAATTTATCTTCCAACATGTTTATTTTTATAGGTATAAAAGTTTTCCCAAGTTTTACTATTTTTGGAATTGTTTTACTATTTTAAACCGAATTTAGAAAATCAACTTTTCAGCAAATTCAAGTATCTGCTGTGTATGTTTTCGGTTGACCGAACAAGTCTATCAGTCGACCAGTTAGGTTGTTTTGTTTTTCCAAAATTCTCTCTAGTCAGTCAACTGACTGTTTAACTCAGTCGACTTACCAGTAGTAGTTTTTTTAGCAATAGCTTTGTCAGTCAACCAGTCGACCGATTGTTTAAATCAGTCGACCAAACAGTATTTTCTGTCGACCGACCAAGTTTTTGTCAGTTGTCCGGCTTTGTTTTATTTTTCTAGAATTAGACAATGGTCAAATTTCTCAGTCGACCGACATACCTATCAGTTAACTGATTGTGTTCTTTCTACTGTAACGGCTAGTTTCTGATTTGTTTTGTTTGAGAGGCTATAAATAGCCCTCAAGAGCCATTTGAACGTATATGGAAAATAAGAACATATCTTGAGTAGTTTGTTTCATAGTTTTGAGATAAATCAAGTGTGTTTATTTATGTGGAAAAGGGTTTTACAAAGAGAAGGATCTCAATTACATTTTTGAGGAATCATCTTCAATTTTCTATCTCTCCTTGCTTTGGAGAAATCTTCAATTTTCTATCTCTCC